AAGAGCGTCATTCTGGCTTTGCATAATACACCTTAACCATCGAGCTGGGGTATTAAATGTGTACTTCTCAGCACGCAGACAAGAGATGCAATTTTCCTAATAAGCCCAGCAGGAGAAACATCTGGGATGTTGAAGATGGGATAATGAGACCCCATGCAGAGAAGAGCCGGGCTACTCAGCCTGAGGAGGTGGGTGTGCTCAGGTCTGAATACATACACAGCCTCTTGGTTTAGAAGAGAGGCTGAGCAACAAAACCCAGCAGAATACATCTCCTGAAACAGGTATTTGGACTCTCATCTTATAGAGTAAGGATATGACGCTTTTTGCCCTCCTCCAATTACCTCACTTGCAAGAAAAATCACTGTCTGACAGAAGAAAACATTACTTTTCGTAGTTATGATGCCAATATCAATCAGTATCGCAAAAGAGAGAAAAGCCTTCGGCACAATCTCACTGCCTGGTCTCCAGGATCAGTAGATATAAGCGCATATTTGAACGGCTTGCTCAAACCCTGTTCTGTACATGGGAGGGATGATAATAATAATAATGATGATGATGATAATAATAGTGGTGGTGGCTTTGTTATTATTTGTGATCAACAGTCTATGTTTCAAAGAAGTCAGAGAGACACCAAAGTGTGGAACACTACTGAACTTTTAGCTTATTTGGGCCACAGAGAGAATACAGTAACAGCAAAGCAAAATATCTTGCACATAGGATGTCCAGCCTTCCCTCTGTCTCCTTGCCCAGTGCTGCCAACTCTCCATCCCCCCGACTTACTGGTGCTGGCCCTCACACGCACTGGGGGAAAATCCTGTGAAAAGCCCTGCACAAGCAGCTGATAAACAAGGCCTCAGGAGGGCAGAGCCATTTCTTGTCACAGAGACTCAAATCATTGCCCCAGCCAAGCAAGGCAGAGTTTCAGGCACACACGAACCAGTGCAAAATTCATGCAGTATGGCTCAGCCCTGTGCCCCAAAAATATTAAGGGCAAAAACTGCTATTACTCAGAAAAACTGCTGGAAAACCACAGATGGCTATTTTTTCTTAATGGAACATCTTGCATTTTGCTTGTTTCCTCAGTAAGCAAACAGAAAAAAAGAAATTTCTATTTCCAAAATAAAAGTTAAACAGTTACATAAACTGTATGACAGAAAACCTTTGGCTTATTCATGTGTTGGTAATTTCTTCCTTGCAAGGAAAAAACCAAAACAAGTTTTGTAACTATTTTTCCATTAAAAGCATGCATGAAAGCCGCTGGCCCCTTCATGCCATTGACCTCAGTAGCAGAGAAGATGGTTTTTGACCAGCCTCCATCTCCCCTGCCCTTGCTCAACAAGGAGCCCAGCAGTAGAAACGCCAGCTGGGGCCACTGGGGCAACAGCGTTGTCAGACAACATGAGGATCCCCGCTCTGCGACTGAGCTCTAGGATTTTGTACAAATCGCCTCCCCAAAGCCCTGAGCAACCACTAAGAGGTTTAAGTCCAAGAAGAGATGCCCTATCTGGGTATCAAGACTCAGTTCCCTCCTTTAAAGCAAACGACCACATAAAGCTTGGACCACCCTTTAGCTTTGGGTTCAAGCTCTCCCATCTATAAAAAAAAAAAAA